TTCAAACTGCTGGTATAAACATCAGTTTTACAATAATGTAAGGAAGTCTTCCCGATTTGTTGACATTTATGATTATTGTTCCTCTCCCTTAGGTAGTAGCATGATGATATATAGCCTATAGCCTTCCTCAATAAACGGGCTATCTCATGTAAAAAAAAACCAAATTGATTTGGAATTAGTAGTTCCTGCGATTAGTGCGTTCAAACAAACAAACAAGTCTCTTTATAATATTAGTATAGATTTTACACGGGTAATTTAATCGTTGTTTGCATTTCGTTTGATTCTTTTGCGTAGTATTTTGCAATTGCAATAAAGGTTGTTATAGGTAAAAGTTGTAGGTTCGATTTTCATACGGACAATATTTATTTGGTCATAATAAAGAATTATCTGTTTATAATTAACTAGCTACTCACCTTCGCTTCGCTCGGGTTCGTTCTTATGTTGATTCCCCATACAAACTTTCATCCTCATGTTCACCCCCTTGGCATGGTTTCCGGGATAAAAACTATCCTATGTCCTTCCCAGTGCCTCAAACCATCTTCTTACCTCATCTAAATTGATTCAGTAATTTCGGAACCTATTCGGTAAAAACAAACAAACACATCCTTCCTCTTTATAATATTAGTATAGATGTGCTTTAATATTTTATTTGTATTTATTTTGTATTTACTAAGTAAAATCCGCTATTTATATATCTTAAATAAAATATATTAATAAAAAAGTAATTAAATAATATTGAATTGTCTTGTTGTATGTTTCAAGTGTCGTGATAATCAGCATAAATAAAGTTAGTTATGGGATAGAACCAAACATATAGACATACACACATTCCTAATATAAATAAGGATCTCTAAACTATTTATGATTAAATCCACTATATACAAACGATTATTACATTCGATTTACTCACTATTATAAGACTACAATGGTCGATATATCGTTCTCTCAGAAATTAACCGTCAGGTGACGAGGGATGAGAGGCTTAATTCTGTACACGTGTAATATGCTCTTCTAAATGATTCGATCTCTTAAGTCCTTCCAAGGGTATCTATTGAAGTAAGTAGTATTTACACCGATATAAGGATATATTATATTATTATATACCAAGTTAGTGTCTTCTTATGTAAAACAAACAAATATCATAAGTCTAATATAAAATTATAGGTACTACTTTTTGCCGGCGTCTTCACTTTATAGTACTCCTAGGTATGTACGTCGATAAAATACTCTGTCAACTTCTATTTTCACTCACATTCGTTGAGCCTTTTAGTTACATATTACAGGTTGAATTTCAAAAAATCTATACACATACCTAATATATTAAAATTATCTATTTTCTTTATCTAGAATCTATAATTTTTAGAATTATTGTCTGGCTGTCTCTCTGTCCGAGACCGCATCAGGAAAAAACCACTGGACAGATTGCGATGGGTATGATGATAACTGGTTATCCGGGTCCAAATATAGGATACTTTTTACTGCGAGAAAATATCTCAACTCTAAGCTAAACGTTAAAACGTAACGAGTGGAGCGAGGGTGAATCGCTAGTCTCTTATATTATTATATTTCAAACCAGCCTCTTATTGGTTGATTTGGGCGCTAATAAATCTAAAGAGAAACTACATATAAAGTTTAATTAATTATAGTCGGACTCTGAATGCGTTAAGCGTGTTGTTAATAAAAGAAATGAAACAATCAATTTATCGTATTCTAATTGATACATCCAGCCGTGTCGGGATCGAGTAGACCCTTCGTCACGTAGACAAATGGAGAGAAATGCTGACAATAGGACAAAATACAATGGACTTATATTTCTGAAGGCAGAGGAGTAAAGTACAGTATTATTTATTGGTAACTAATAGTATATCTCGGCGTTGCTTCAATGTTTTATTATGTTTTTGGTATTTAATCTAACCTAGATAATATTTTTTAATAAATAACTAATAATAAATAAGTAGGGACATTAGCACACAGCACCATCTAGTTCCTACGAGGCTTGTGTTATAGATACCAGATAGTTGATACACTACACGTATATAACTTTTAAATACATACATATTATAAATATAAACACCCATGACTGGAGTACAAAGATTCGTGATCATCACACAAATGAATGCTCCCAGCAGGACAGCAAGTAGGATCACTACAAACTAAGCTAACCTGTCGTCATATTGTCTTGAAATAATATAATAAACTTTTACCAGTATAGGTATTTATGTTTCATGGGTCTGGGTACTAATATGAACCGAATAAACAGTTATAGAACGTCTCACCTATGGTTTAAATGACAGCCATTATTTGAATAGGTATATTACTTTAAAACTAAAAAGTCTAGTACTCGATTTGTTCGTATCTGTACAGATAACATTTACTTTGAATTAAAATAACTAAATATCGAAAACTTACATACAAAAAAAGTCTATTGGTTCTTGAAGACGTTCAAAAATAAAAAAATCTGTTTAATTTTCATTGGACGTATATTTTGAAGTAGAATAAATTGTATCAATGTTTTTTTCTACTTGACATTCGAGTGGGCGGGCAATGAATTTATCGACTGGATGAAAAATGATGGGGACAGTATGGGATGTACGGTTCTTGTGATTCAGATTGCTTTCTACAGAGAGTAAGCTATACCCCTATACTTGTATCTAGCATTAGCCTGTTAGCACTTAAGCATAAAAATATAAATAGTTAATGAAAAATTTCATTATAGAGCGGTTTTGTAAATTTGTTTTTTAATAAAAAGTAGCGTTTTTTTATACATGTAAACTTAAAAAGTAAAACCTTTCGAAATATATTATATACAAAAAATGCGCATTTAATACCTAATATAGAATAAAACATTTTTTTAATTATCAAATTAACATTTATATGTCACATTCATATATTTATTTACAAGAGCCATCCAATTTTTACTAATATTATAAATTTGAAAGTTATTGATTTGGAAATTATCTCTTTATTTTTATCAATATTGTATCAATCACGCTTCCTGTGTACTAACATTACCATGTTGTAAAAAAGCGTAGGTACGAGTATGTTGAATTTTCTAAAACTCTTTGTTTTTCTAGTCATTCACATTGTATTTCCTTAATAAAACTTTTTTACTAACTGACAATGCATAGCCTAAACTGGTGGACTTAGATAGGTGAAGAAGAAGAAGAAAATTTGCATAAAAAATTCTTGTAATAAGATTTTCTCTTATAAATCAAATAATCTTGTGGCAAATAAAATTTTAGCAATTTTTAAATACTATAATATTATAAATTATTGAAACAAAGAAACTCTTAGTACGCGATAAAATATGACACAGGAAAGTGAGAATATATCTTTCATATCAATACTCGATAACTATGCCCATTAATTTGGCGATATTTCCAAGAGATTACACCCCCTATACAGATTATTTATAACTCGTGTATCCTGGCGCCTTAGAAATAGCTGAACTCATAGCTTTTAAACGATATTATTATATTGAATGTGCTTATTATATAGAAGCAGGTGTTATGTACTAAACATATATGTAAATAGAAACTATTTACAAGCGAGTTTGTTTTAATAATTGTAATAATTTTTTCGCATACTTTTTACGAAGTTTCATAATACTCGTATATACAAGATACGGAAACATACATAATTTATACATATAATAAAATACTAACTAAATCGAATCTACGTACATAATTTTTTTTTTGGAAAATCTTATTGCAATGGATACAGAGGCCAAATACTCGTATATAGTTTTTAGAATTTTTGTCTGTCTGTCCGGGAACGAATCACGAGAAAACCACTGCATAGATTTTGATGAAATTTGGTATAATGATTTTGGTTATCTGGATCAACATATATGATATATTGTACTCTTTACTGCGGGAAAATATCTCATCTCTGAGAAATCTATAATACTATCTATTAAAATGTACTAAGGGACGAACCCAAGCGGAACGAGGGTGAGCCGCTAGTTATGAATAAATCCTTAAATCATAAAATAACTTAGTTAAAATTAGGTAAATGATAAACAGATAAATTAGATAATTAATTTCGAAGCTACCTGGACTAGGTTAAAAACCTGTGTTTCAGGTTATAGTTTTACTATGTATTTCTTACTGAAAATATATAAGAATGGAGTAATATTAATATTATCATGAGAAATGAGGTTTAATTTTTTATTAAATATTAATACGTTTAACAATACGTCTATAATATAATATGTGTATCTTTTTTATAATACGTAGGATGGCACATAGTTTGTGCATATTTCTTTGTTTTTAAATTAATTAAAAAAGCTTAAAATTAACTATAAATGATACGATAGTTTAGAAAAATCTAACTTATTTTATTAAGTAGCATACACAATGTGTGCATTTATAAAGCGAATAGGATTGAAAGTGGGGGCGAGGGGTGAACTGTTTCCGGTTAACGACACTGAATAAACGACGTCATGTCCGGTTCACTCTGATCAAACAATTTCCTAGCAATATTTAATTTAGACAAGACTGTGTTAGGACTTGGGAGAGTAATGTGTACTATTTTATACTATAATAGGTGTACGTAATGCATATGCGACGAAAAGGAAATTATAAATTTCTTTTAAAAAAATATGTATAATTATAAATTATTTTATAAATTATAATCTATTCTAGTGTAGTCTAGAAACACAAAAATAAATCTATCCCACGGGAATCGTACATTTTTCTGCGATAAAAAGTAGCCTATGTGTTATTCTGATGTATGAGCTATATTATTGTAAAGTTTCATTAAAATCCATTCAGTAGTTTTTGCGTGAAAGAGTAACAAACATCCATACATCTATACAACCAGACATCCATACATCTTTACAGAATTTCGCATTTATAATATTATTAGGATTAAGCTATATTTATATGATTGCTCAAAATAAATAAATGTATAAAAAAATCACGTTGTCTGGTAAACCATTGCACAATCTGCTTAAAAATTAATAAGTACTTACTAAAAAAAAATATAATTTGTTACAGGAACTACTAGAAAAACGTATAAAGCAATTAGAAGATCAGTTGGAAGAGGAAAAACGAAGAACCCAACGCGAGCGTATGGCTGTCACCAAACTACAAAATAAACTTATAAAGGTACGTAGTTAATAATTACATAAGATTATAATAACGCATTATCTATACTTTATAATATTATAAAGAGGTACAGTTTGTGAGTTTGTGACGTTGTAGGGGGTAATCTCTGGATCTACTGAACTGATTTAGATAAAATTTGGTAAGACGATAGTTTGAGACCCTGAGAAGGACATAGGATCCTCCATACTTTTTATCCCGGAGATCATCCCTTAAAAAATATATATCCGACTAGCAACATACCCTCGCTTCGCCCGAATGCGGCCCTATGGTGCCTTTTGTAGGGCCAACTTTTGGAGCTATCTGTATATAATCTGGTTAAAGTCTATCCTATCCGTCTACCCGTTTCAGCGTGAAGGAGTAACAAACACACATACATTTAAACTTTTATATTTATAATAGAAGTGCGGTATATATTTACTATCCCAAGTCTTTCCTCACTGTCATTAATTTTTATCTACATTATTATTATAAAGAATAAAGATGTGTATTTTTGTATGTTTGTAACAAATAAACTCAAGAACTACTGGACCGATTTAGATGAAATTTGTTAAGAAGATAGTTTGAAACTCTGGAAGGGACATAGGATATTTTTTATTCTGAAAATCATCCTTTAAGAGGGTGAAAATGGGGATGAAAGTTTGTATGGGGAATTAACATAGGGACGAACCCGAGCGAAGCGAGGGTAAATTACTAGTAGGAAATATAGTTATAAGTAAACTATGCCATTTTTTATCAATTTTAAGTTTTATTAAAAGAAAATCAATGGGGATTCTGTGATTTCTGTACTTAAGATAAAACCTACATAAATAATACAACTTTAGCCACTCTTACGTACCTGTGTAAAGTATTGTTTAGTGCTTAAAATCATTATTAATATTTACCTCAAATTGAAATCGAATCTGAGCCTCCTAGACTTAGCTATGTTGTACTCGTATCTAAGATCATTTGACGGTATTTCAAAAATATCGCATATCTACTTTTGCAAGTCGGTAAAAATAATCCTTATTCATCCACAAACCAATTTTCTTCCCGCAACGTTTTAATCCATTCTAAACAGATCCATTATTTAAACTCCATTCTAAGGTTCACTGAGATATTAAGTATAGCTTGATTGATTCTTTGTTTGCTGGGGGGTCTATAATCCTTCTTTCTTAGGTACCTTTGAAATTGAAATAATTATGATTTATTTCAGATATACATTTTTATGCCCCAGTAGTGTAGTGGCTAGCATGTACGGCTGCACACTCGGAGGTCCTGGGTTCGAGTCCCGGGTCGGGCGAAGTTTAATTTTTGATTCTTTCTGTATAGTAAGTCTCAGTAACAGCCCACAGTTGGGAAGATGGCGGTGTTTCACCCCCGTGCCTCGGAGAGCACGTAAAGCCTTCGGTCCTGCGCTACTCTCAATGTCTCGTGTCGTCCTACCGGAGTATGAGAGTGACAGGAATAGAGAGTGCACGTTGTGTCTGCGCGTACACTTGTGCGCTATCTCCTGAGCAGTTGGCTAGTCTCAATGAGATTGGCCGCCGTGGCTGGAATCGGCTAGGAGAACATCATCACATTTTTATGTGCAATTCTACCCTATTGTACTTGTTCAAGAGTTGTTTTTTTTTTAAATCTATCCTTTATAGTATTCAGATTTGGCAAAATACCGTAGAAACGTGAAAACATGCTGCCCTAAACAAAATAGGTAAATCGAAAGTTTTTGTCAGTTTCAAAATAGATTGTGTACTAAACTTATATGTATATTTATATACATATGTATGTAGAAGGATATAGAAGGACTCGTTTTTTTATAGTTTCAGTAACTTAGTGCCTTTACCATCTACACTAATATTATAAATGTAAAAGTTTGTGAGTATGAATGTTTGTTACTCTTTCACGCCAGAGCGGCTGAACGGATCTGGATGAAATTTGGCACAGAGATAGATTATAGTCTGGAATAACACATAGGCTACTTTTTATCTCGGAAAAATGTACCGTTCCCATAGGATCCCGTAGGACCGAAGCGAGGGTGAGCCGCTAGTTCTCTATAACCATAATATATTTTACATTTTATTTATAGAAATATTAAGAAGAAATATATATGTATATGGCACAGTTACAAAGTAAGACGTATAAACATTGCATAATGCAACTAACTTTGTAATTGTAGTGCATTATCTTTTAATAAACTTGATTTGATTTGAATTTTGAATACCAAAAAATCTTAAATATCTTCCAAATATCTTTTAAACTTTTTAATATTGACAATAATAGAAGATAACTCTGTCTCGCTAGAATTATCGTTAAATTTCTCTCTGGTAACAATTTCGTAATAAACGTTCGACACTTGTCAATATTTGGCGTCTATTAATTAATACCTGCCCCTCACGGCGATATGGCTTGAGAATTGTGGCAAAGAATAAAACATATAGACATGACACGAAGACATTTTAATTATTGTGATTAGGCAAATATTTTATATATTTAGGGTATATATATTTTGAATACACTACATCGAACTGAAGTTACTAAAGGACTAGATAAAGCCCGTGGTTTGAATAAAGTGGACCTCGTAATTATTGTCAAAGCGAAAGTCAATATATCAGTTACAAAAAATATTGTAGACGTATATTTTTTTATATATATTTATACTCTTCTTCTCGACTTCAAAAATATCTGATTAGGTATCTATTCTAAATGAAAAGTTTAGTTATTTTTTACATTTTAGTGCCTGGAAGTTGGTTGGTTGGTTGGTTGGTTGGTTGGTTGGTTTTTTTTAGTTTTTATTTTTCAATTTTTAGTGTAAACGTAATAAGCAGGTAATTTGTTGGAAGAAAGTTTTTAAATAACATATTCGATTAAACAATTTATTTAAGAAAAATATTTATTGCTGATTTTTAAAAAAACCGCTCGACCGATTTCGATATAATTTATATGGGACCACCTAGGAAGTATGACCTTTAAAATAAAATTTCAAATCGATTTAGGCGTCTTCGAGTAATCGGTGTACATACATAAAAAAAAGATTCCGACGAATTGAGAACCTCCTCCTTTTCGGAAGTCGGTTAATAAAGTATATTTTGATTTGATTTACGTATGCCGTTTTTCAAAAAAATCCAGTTAAAAATATTTTTAGTCTATGTGAGGAAAGTCGTTAGCAATTGCTTGTACTATAGAATACGTGCTCTCAGATCAAATACCGATTGTTCAATTAAAAAGTTATTTGTAACATATCGCGGTGCGCTCGTTTTGTTTTTGTCGGACTATTTGTATGGATTTTCACAGCTTTGTACATACATAGCAATGTATGCGCTATTATTGTATTTAAATTGCTCTAATAAAATTTTAATATATCTTCGTAGTACCATAGAAGCTTTACTGCTATGAAAAACGTGAGTTTGATTCCCATAGGGTGCATTTTTATTTTAATCATATTTTTTCCCATTTCATAAGGTTCATAATCGATAAAAGTGGAATTACTGCGAAAGAAAATTATATCCCAAAAGATTTTTTATTAATTCATACTTAAATCTTTTACGATCTTAAACAATTTTTTATATATAAAAATACGCTTCCTTTACAGATACGTTATTGTTAAAAATATCGAATGACTTTGAATGAAGCACTAGACCACATAATCGAAACAACAAAAATCATAAAGCAACATGTGAATTTTTCGCTCTCGTCTGATTAAACCCGGCGGGACTTCGATTGTCAGCGCAAAATTGATTGGAAACTCTCATTGTTTTGCACGTCTGCCGAATATTAGCTCGATTCGGTTTTTAATTTCTGTTAGACTTAAATGGAGTCTGTTTATATGACAATATTCATTTCGAAAGGATTTATTGTGTAGTGGATTTTCTTTAGAGGTCTATTATGGTGGATTATGGGTTCGATGCTCGTACGATGAATGAATGAAATGAAGTTTTGTTAAAGACAGTTGACATTATATACAACTAGCTTTTATTTGATAATGATAAGAAGTGAATAGCAATGTGCTGGTTATATTCTTTACTAGTTTTTGTCCTCGGTTTCGCACTATCTATATAATCTTCTATAATCTTCTTGCCACGTGCCCGGCAAGCTTACATACGTATACCTATATCTCTTGCAACTTATATGTCTAAATGATTTTTTTTAAACACTTTGTTCTAAAATAATTTTACAGTATGTGGAGCCCTTGTGCAAAATTTCATGTTTCTCGACCCGAAAGTTTGGGTTGTGTATAATATAATTTTTTTTTTTAACATATTTCCTAAGCTTATTCCTATTGTCAGTTAACCTGTTATTATAAAAAAATAAACAGATAGACACTGAACTTATTATGCATTTTCCCTTATTAATTGTTTCTTTTTAAAAACACACCTAATAATGCCCCTATTGAATTTTGAGAATACCGTGTCCATGAAATTATTTGGGATTGTTTATAATTATTACAAAAATTTCATAGATACACATCTCGCTTTTATAAAAAAATAAAATTTATCTTCATAAAATATAAGTTCTAAAAATCATAAAATTCTTGTCGGCAAACACATGTCTTCTCTTCCGGAGATGAGACGTTGGCGCTATATTGATTTGAGCTTTCTCTTGCCATCCGCTTGTTAAATGTTCCCTTGATTGAGTATCAATAATAAATTTAAATATAAAATTACCCAATTATTATTACATATTGAAATTATCCTTACACTCTTCTATTCATATATTCAAAAAAACTTATGTAGTCTTTTAATGTCAATTTGCACTGTTTATTAATTTTATAAATAATGAATAAATAAATATGTAGGGACATTAATACACAGCACCGTCTAGTTCCATGATAAGCTACGAGACTTGTGTTATGGATACCAGATAAGTAGTTGATATACAGTACACTACACATATATAATTTGACTTCCCAGGACTGGAGTACCTACAAACATTCGTACTCATCACATAAAATATGAATGCCCCCAGGCGATTTGAACTCGCGACCGCTGACACAACAAGTAGCGTTATTGCAAATTGAGCCAAACGTGTCGTACGTA